CAGCACTTCCACCTAATTGCTTTTCCCCTTCCTTGCAGATAGACTTACAGAAAGGCTCACATTCATTGATGAGGTTCTGGAGGCGTCTAAGCACCCGCTCCTTTATAATTGAGAATATTTTCCTTCAAAGTTTCACTACGGATGGGTCTGCACATTTTCTATAGAACATTCGTTTCTAACAATTCCCATTTTGTAGCATAATCGATTTTTAAAATAAGATATGGTTACATCTACGGGTATGGCGGCGACGCAACTGTTGATGCCTTAAGAAGCATGTATTTAAAGTTACTACGTCATCGCCACGCAGTGCGATGCGACTCACAGGCATCTGCAGCCGCCTCGCCGCAATTTTTGAATTATACCTTTTGAGAAATGCACTACCCTGTATGAAAAATGGTTCGTTAGAATTTAAAATTGAGATTTTTGACTTTTTTCATTCTGAAGTTAACTTACAAGTGACAGAAATAATGTGGTTTTTGGCGTGGGCTATTGCATAAATATGGATGCCCTCGTCATCCGGTGATCGGGTAATCGGCTGGCGTGTGTCACTAAATTTACGTTCAGGTTAAATAGCACCCAAACCAAGATTGTAAAGTTACAGCTAGCTCACATTATATCCATAGAGCAGCTCCCAAAACGTATCCTTCCCGAATGCTTCAGTCTGGCAGCTTTGGGATTTTTGAGCGGGAATGATGAGCCAACTTGAAGGCGTGAGACACATCCGGTGTAATCTGAAGAGAAAAGAAACGTTTGGTTTATAACAATTAACGTGAATAAGAGTGTATCTTACTTTTATCCAGAAACGTCCAAACATTGAAATTCTGGAAGAAAGTCCAATTCCCTTCAAAGTGTATTGATGGCTCACCGTCGACCTTAATTGTAATGTAGAAAGAAGGAAAAAATCTTGTAGAACATATGATACGAGTGCTATTGTTTTAAATAAGTTTCACGTTTAGCAGTAATTTCCCTGCATTTGTGCAACTGCACGCAAAACACCAAGTCCAAAAAGCGTGGATATCTTACTGCTTGCAAAAGTAGACGATGTAAACGTCTTGATCAGAGGTTATATTTTGTGAACTTGATTGCTTTACAATAACACTATTACCTTTGATATAGAAAATTAA